GGGGATATTTTATTTTTAATTTTTCCTCAATAGTCAGATCTATCAATTCTTTTCATTCAGTATAGTGGCTAGGCCACAAAGTTGGAATAGATTTACAATGATGGTACTAAATGAAAACGGTTTGCCTTGTTTATACTGTCACTAAATCCATGCTCTCAAATTTATGCATGGAATTTTAAAAGGAGATTTAGTCGGTAATTTTAGGGAAGACTCTGCTCCCAGTAGAGTTTAAGATAATGTCATCTTATTTTACTGATGGTGAACCCATTGTAAAGTGGCAGAAATGAGAATAGTGAGCTTTCTGTGAATAATGAGCTCCTGCCACATCACTGTGACAGTCTGCCAAACATCAGATTATTATGTACTTGGCCACCGGGGTCTATGTTAGCTATGTCAGTTAACTTTACCCCCATAGTTAACTCCATTTAACACACACACACACACACACACACACACACACACTACATTTACATGGGAAGACAGTTCATTAGTTATTTGTTTTAAACAGCAGCTCATTAAAACAAGGGGCTTTGTGCGCACACAGGGGATGGGGAATCCTCTCTTCTACCACTACTTGCACAACTGAAAAAAAAATACTGCCTCCTCAAGGATTTTTGTCAACTACAATTTCCCTGGCAACTTGCCGTGGTTCGGGTTGCTGTCTCTGATTGAGTACCTCTCCAGTCTCTGTCAAAATTCTGTCCTGATCAAAAGCGAAAAACCTCAGGAAGCCTTCACTAATCCTCCACGTCCATCAGAAAGATAAGACTTTTTTATTTTTATTTTTTAATTGAGTTATAGTTAGTTTACAATGTTGTGTCTATTTCTGGTGTACAGGATAAGACATTTTTATCCCAAACTTCTAGATTGTTCCTTGTCCACAACTCCTGGCCCTCACGCCTTTTTTCCTGCTATAGAATTTTGCCTATATCACCTTACTCTCTGTCCCCCTCACTGCTCACTCCTTAGATAAATATAAACATCTCTCTCTCATGAAACTGAACTATCTATTCTTTCTCCATATTTGGGAAAGATAAAAGAAAAAGAAAGTGCTAAAGTGCTCCTTCATTCATCTTGTGTGGTTTTGTGAAAGCAGTGATAGAATTTTATTTTGAATTGTTTTATTAGAAAATGAAAATCTATTAAAAATAAAATATCTGCATAAAATTATATAAATGCTCATCTTAGGTAAAATTGGCACTTGGCTTCTCATACTTTGATGACTCTTCTGTTCAGTGCCTGCCTGCCATATTTAATCTAAATAAACTTTAAACTCTAAAAACTTAAAACTAGCATTCATGTCACGATTGCCTTTCTTAGCTGCTGAACTAAACAGTCGATTTAGATATTTTTTCTAGCAGTTTTCCAGGAAAAAACTTAAAAAAATAAATGGGTGTATTTAAAATTTTGTGATCCTTATTCTGTATTTTAAAAACAAATAAGTAGTAGTAAACCACTACAGAAATTACAATTAGACTATAAAGTTCCAAAGAAACGATTATTTCTAATTCAGTAGTCTCTATATGTCTCTAGGTCTTTTCTGTTTTATTAGCCTAAGAACTTAAGGAGACTACCCCAGTTTTACCTTTTAACATTGACCTGACGAAACAAACATCTGTTGACACAGTTATCGCCATTGATCCCCAAATACTGCCAAGAATTCTCTTCTAATTTGAATTTTTTTTCATATTGTTTCAGTTCTGACTATTGCCATCAAAGTCTTTTGATTATTTTACCTCAGAGCTCCCTCAGTGTATTTTGGGAAGTTATGGATCGTCATGTCCCCATGCATGCATTACCTGAAGAAATCCAAAAGGTACGATGCTGTGTTATTACAGCATTAGGAACATTTTAACAAAAATTTCTAAAACCTGGCAGAATGAATTCAGAGGTTTTGTATTTGTTTTAGCCAGGGGATCTGCAATGAATTGGTGGAGTAGGGAAAGGGAGTAACTGTGATGGTCAAAACTGTAGAATTCAGTTCAGTGCAAAGAATGTTTGTCCTGTGAAAGAAGACAGATATATAATTCTATCATGATATTTGAACAGGTGTTTCGGGAGCCCTTGTGAAAAGAGCAATGACCAGATACTTTATTTAGATATTTTTATAGCAGCTTTTCAGAAAAAAAAAATAAAGCTGACATAAATGGGTCTGTTTAAAATTTTAAGTGATCCTTATTCTCTAACTGTGAAACAAATAATTAGTAGTAGATCACTGCAGAAATTATAGTTTGTAACTTATTATGATGCAGGAATCTTTTGTTTGTTTGATTGTTTTTATGATGCAGGAATTTTAAGTGTCTCTCTGCAAGGGTATATTTCAATTGCACCTTAATTCTTATCACTTGTCACACACCAGGCACTGTGTTAAGCCCTTTCATAGATACCAGCTCATTTAATCTGGTTAACGATCTTTTTCACAGTTGATATGCTACTCTCTCTGTTAGTTCATACCTGTCTTCAGGCAAAAGCATTTCTCCCATATTTAGTTTGGAGATGCATACATTGTTAACAGCATAATTTAAAAATATCCTTTTGAAACTGATTGACAAATTATGAATTAAAACCTCAAACTTGAGCGTTCATTAATCAGTCAGGTTTTTTAGTAAATCTACAGTCAACTCTTAATTAACCACCAATCCGTAGTTTTTAATTAAAAATTGCAGTCAGCTCTCAGATACACTTTTACCCTTTGTGCACTTTGCTTTGGGCTGCCTGATAGCATTAATCATCCCATTGATTTAACTTGATGCTTACTGCTACAGCATGTCCTTCAGATTTATGTGAACTGCAATCTGGCAGGAACTGGAAGAGGGGTACATTACCAGAAAAGATCTTTTAAACCATTGCATTTCACCTTTTAAGTTAGGTGTAAGAGAAAGTAAGCACAGAGAGAGCACAGCTATGTTATGTTTACCTGAGAAATGGTGCTTAGATGTGTTTGAAGACATGGAGTGTCCTGTCTCTTTCTCTCACCTGAGTTCCTTTCATATACTATCCTGTTGTGGTAGAGATTAAAATAAACAAAACAAAACAGTCTGCAAGAAACAATGCCCATACTCAGATCCCTGTCATCTGTCACGAAGAAGATATATAATAAAATGAAAAAAAAAAAAACCTCTAAAAGACAGTGTATGATTTACATGTCATAAGATAGTATCTTCTCTGAGAATGGAGAAGATGGGGAGAGGAATCCTTGAATGTTAGGATGGTCAAGGAGGATCTTTATGCAGGAGATAGAACTGGAATTGGCTCTTGGAGGCCAAAGATTTCTACAGACAGGTAGGAATAGGGCATCCTGGTCCAAAAGAACAAAAGCTTACTGGTGAGAAAAAGCTGGCCAAGTTAGAGAATGTTTAACAATGCAAATGTTTTAAATACATGAAAGAGTATGTATTTATTTTAACAAAGTTTTAATGAGAGTTGAATGTTTTTTATTCTATTTAAGGTACTTTATAAGTAAATTATTTAAAAATGCTAAAACCAAGCATTTCATACAGTTACATTCTCAAAGCTTGGATGGCAGGCAGCTGTCCATACAGTGCAGAAAAGTGGGGAGGCCAGGAGTAGCTCATTTGCCTAAGGCCCTGGACAAGTAGCCCTTAGCCTGCTGAATGTTTAGAATGTAAAGTGCAGCTTTGCACTTTTTCAGACCTAAGTTAAATACGTTTATAGAACAAATATTTATCAAGTGCCTGTAATGCATCAGGTACTGTTTTGGGTACTTGATTATAAAGCAGCATGTACTTGCATCCCACAGTCTGTTAAAGCTTGGTGTAAGGATGTCAGTTATTTGTTTTCCATAACTTCTTACCTATATTTGATTCCTCTTTACTGTCCATAATGTAACTTGTTAAATTGCCTAGTGACCAGGCATCTATCTATTTAGTCAGCTTGCATACATCGTTCTATACAGAATCATTTTAAATAGATATATAACTTATAATAGCAATAAGAATACTTCAGTTTAGAACCATTTCACTATTAAAGAAAAAAATCTTTGTTTTTCGTAATGGCTTGGAAATTGTGCAACATTTCTTTATTGGATAAAAAAGGACATGAGGTGGGTGGATCAGTACAGAGTGACAGGTCTTTCAAAGACTTTTTTTCCCATGTTCTTCTGTTAGCTTTTTGTGTTAGTTTTTACGCTGGCTCTTCTTTCTAAAGAAGCCCCTGCTGTTTCCTTTTTTTCCTGTGTGTATGCAAGGAAGGTTAGTGTAGAAATCAGGGAAGGGAAGGTAAGGGGAGCATTTCCTCTTTCTTTCTGTGCTTTTGCTATATAATACAGAAATGGGGTGGTTGATAAATTACATGAAAGATACGTGATAATGGAAACGAAAATGGCTGTACTACACTGTACTATTAATAGCAAAATAGTAGCATTAGAAAGAGTTGCAAGAAAAAGTAAATGTAGGGAGATGGCCACCAAAGGGAAAATGTGGAGAAGAGTGCTGACAATACTAAGATCCAGTTAGAGAGTCTATTGCCCAATTAGAAAGCAAAGATTGTTAAATCATCTCCCTCTGGTCTCATCTTCTTAGGAAATCTTAGGGAAGGAAGAAGATAATCTTTTAACTCCCATTCCCAGGTCTTTTTGCTTTTTATCACAATTTCTGACCGAGCATAAAACACATTTCAGAGTTGCATCTCCCCAAGTGGCAGAAAATGTAAAACAGGCCCATGGGCTGGACAGCAAGACCATACTCATCCCCTTTGTCTGCTGCTAGACCCTACAGTTTACTTCTGTAAGTTCTGAGACCATATCTCTGAATCTGCTGTCTAGACTGAGCTGACTTGTACCTATCTCTGACCTCCGATAAGCAGCTTCTCAGCCAGAATTTTCATCCAGCATACTGAAAGCAGAATGTACTTGTAATGATAGTACAGTTCAGTTTAAAACTAAAACAATACTTATAGATCAGCAAAGTAATAATTCTGTATGTTTTCACCTGCTGAATGTCCACCCATTTTAGAGACATATGGACTCCTCTTTTGAGAAAAAGAGCAATGAATAATTTTCCTCTTGCTATTTTTGCTAGAGGACATACACAGAAGTCAGAACAACCTCAACAAATCAGTGTTATTTTGCAAAAGTAAAATGGATCTCTTGTTTTTTTAAATGGTGACAAAATGAGCACTTGTAATAGGATTTTAGCTTCAGGAGATATTTATTACCACAGGACACAAAGTAAAATAAAAAGACCAGAGTTGTTTATTTTACCAAACAGAAGTGGCAGTAGAAGAGCTGGAGAGCACACTGTTCTTTCTGGGATAACAATCCTTTTCCCTACCAGTAACAGCTCATTTTGTCCTGTTTCAGTAAAGTAATTTTAGTACTTTGGAACTTTGAAATTTATTCAGAATAACAGTTTTATATTTCCAAGCACAGTTTGTCATTGCCAGAAAAAATAAACTTAATTTTCCAGGTCATTTTGGGCCACTGTGGCTAGGGTCAGATTTTGTGTTGAGTTAAAGTAGAGAAAAAAGAAAGAGAACATGGTCATAGAAACATTAGCACCAGCATCCTGGAAAAGTAGTGATATGTGTGTGGGTAGATGTGTTGTGTTTTTAAGTAATTGCAGGTTTAAGACCTAGTGACAAGAAATAGGAAGCTGTATAATTTTTGGAGAAACTATTCACTTAATATTGTGACCCAAGATAGTTTATTAGGAAAAAAAATCATTGTTTTTTTTTAATTATTGTGAATTTTGCAAACTCTGCATTTGTCAATTTGTAGTCCAAAAATTTTGCTGGCTGGCCAGAGAGTGTCATGGAGTTTACTAAGGTGAGGTTTTTCTGGAAAAATAGGGGGAAATAGACTTTGGAAGCATATTTAGATAAACATAGGTGTGTCATGTATAATTTATGTATGAAACCAACATTTCTTAACATTGCCCAATAAAAATTATGGGTTAATCTCTGGTATTTTAGTCCCAGATTTTTATATTTTATTATTTTAAAATCAAACATTTTATTTTGAGATCATTATAGACTCACATGCAGTTGTGAGAAATGATACCAAGAGAGCTCATGCACCCTTCCCCAGCATCCCCCAATGGTAACATCTGGTGAAGCTATACTACAATATGACAACCAGGATGTTGGCATTGATACAGTTAAGGGTTCTGCCACCACAAAGATTCCTCATGTTGCCCTTTTACATCCACATCCTCTTTCACACACCTCCACTACCCTACCCCCAGTTCATGACCCCTGGGAACTGTTGATCTGGTCTCCAGTAGTCTTGTCATTTCAAGAATGTTATACTAGTGGAGTTATGCACTATGTAATCTTTGAGATTCGTTTTTTTTTTCCATTCAGTGTAATTCTCTGGAGTTTTATTCATTGTCTTTTTGATATTGCATTATATGAGCTATTTATCTTTTGATTATTAACACCCTTATCAGTTATATAATTTGGAAATATTTTCTCCCACTCAGTAGGTTGTCTTTTTGTTTTGTGAAAGGTTTCCTTTGCTATACAAAAGCTTTGATTAGGTCACATTTGTTTACTTTTGCTTTTGTTTCCTTTGCTTGAGGGGACAGATCCAAAAAAATACTGCTATGACTTATGTCAAAGAGTGTTTCTCCTATGTTTTCTTCTAGGAGTTTGATGTTTTACAGTCTTAAATTTAGGTCTTTAATCCATTTTGAGTTTATTTTTATATGTGGTGTTAGAAAATGTTCTAGTTTCATTCTTTTATATATAGCTGTCCAGTTTTCCCTGCACCCCTTATTGAAGAGACTGTCTTTTCTCCATTGTATATTCTTGTCTCCTTTGTCATAGATTAATTGACCATAAGTGCATGAGTTTATT